GGGGGGTGGCTGTCCCGAGGTGGCAGTTACCTGTGGTACAGGACTCTGGCTGGCTGGGCTCTCCTATTTCAGGGACAAAGAAGAACCCCAGATGGTGAGATGATACAACAGAGAGAGTGTCCCCCCCCACTGCCCCCCATCCAGCAAATCTGCTCTGGAGTCTAGTGGTAAAGCCACCGCGGAGGGAGCGAGCACGCTGGCAGCTGGGGCCAGTCCTACAAGGACATCGCCTGGAGAACTAGAGGGTCACCCATGGAGAGGAAGTCCCTCAGTGACATGGGCTGAGGCAGTAGCTGCAGTGATGGTCTTTAGCAGAGGGGTGATGGTGAATGACTGGGCAGGGGCAATGTTGAGCCTGGGGCGGGATGGGGCGGGGCTCCTCCTGTAGTGTTTGGGGGGAGGCGAGCTGACTCAAGGGTACCCAACAACGACTACCCCATCCCTCCTGTCTCAAGTGGTCAGAAGTGGTCATGTAGAGCCATGACTGCGGGACAAACAAGGTCCAGTCCTAACAAGGGTCCCAGGACATCCTGAAGGTGTGTGCATGGCTGCTAACCCAAAGATCGGGTTCTCAAATCCCCTTAGAGGCACCTCAGAAGAAAGACCTGGTGATTGTGGAAGAGCCACTGTAGACCCCGCGGGCTGTCCCAGGTCCGTTCTGAACCGTGGACCCATCCATCGCTGTGGGTGGCAGCAGATGTGACCACCGGCGTGCTCGAGGCTGCTTCACTGGGAGCAAGTGGACCACACCCTTGTCCCCTGGGCATCTGGCCAAGCGGGACTTTTTCTGAGGCCTGGCAGGCAGCATGGGCCCCCACCAGCACTGAGTGGGCCTCACTGAGCACTGAGTTCAGGCCAGAGGAAGCAGAAGGTCAACTGGATCCTCTCTGGGTCTGGTCAGCCAGAGGCCAGTGTGGAAACAGTGCTGGGGCTTTGGCATCTGCGTCTGTCCATGCCTTGTGGCCTTTCTTTTGGAACAGACCTGTGACTGTGCCTTGGAGTTGGGCTTTTTTCTTTCTGAATTTTGTAATGTCTTCTACTCAATGAACATAAGGATCCCATGGCCTGACCAAAGGACCCACATGACCCCTGAGGGGCAGAGCCACAGGGGGTGAGCATGAGTGGGGTCATCCCAGACTCACTTGTACCCCAATTAGCACTCAGGACCGTGGGTCAGTGGAACACCTCACCTTTCTGACCTTTCTCTCCACGCAGACCCATCTCTCCTGTGTCTCCTGCAGAGAAAAATGAGATGTGATTGTGGGTGTGGGGCCCTCGGCACCAGGGAAGTCAGAGAGGACTGTCGTCCACCTCCCCGGTTTGAGGGGCGGAAGGAGCACAGGTCTTGTCCAGGGTCTTCACGCTGATAGCCAGGTGGCCCATAGAGGCTCCAGTGCAGGACTCAGGACAGGGGTGGGGGGGAGGAAGCTGAGGCTTAAGCCCTCGGGGAGAGGGGCCTCTGCCAGGACCTCAGAGCCAGGCCCAGCACAAAGGGACCAGGACTGTACTCGGGCGCCGGACAACAGAAAGACACAGAGGGGGCCCTAGAAGCCCCCCCCAATTCCCTTCTCTCTCACAGTTGCTCTCTGGGGCCCCCATGCCTCCCTCTTTTTCTGTCCTCTCTCTCTCTCCTGCTTTCCCTCTGCCCCTCCTGTCTGTCTCCTCCCTCACCCTCCCTCTTTCTCTCTCTCGGTTCCCTCTCTCCCTTTCGTCTTGAATTCTTTTCTCTCTCTCTGTTCCTCTGTCTCTCTCCCTCCTTTCTTTGTCTCCCCCTCTGTCTTCTCTCTGTCTCTCTCTCTTCCTCCTCTTCTCTCTCTCTGTCTGCTCTCTCTCTCTCTGTCTCTCACATAATCTGCTTCTCTCCCTCTCTCTTTGTGTTTCTCTCCCTCTCTCTTTGTGTTTCTCTCCCTCTCTCTTTGTCTTTCTCTCCGTGTGTGTCTGTCTCTCTCCCTCTCTCTTTCATCTCTGTCTCTCTCTGTGTGTCTGTGTGTCCTCTCTTCTCTCGGGTTCCTACCTTTGGGTCCCGCACTCCCAGGAGGGCCAGGTGGACCTTGAGCACCTGCAGATGCAAAGACACCAGTTAGCACCAATGACCTGACAGATCTGCTGGAGGATCTTTGCCCACGTTTGAAGGCCCAGCTGCATCCTGTGCTGGCTCCTGACTTCCTCAGATCTGTGGAGCCCCTGTGCCTTGGAGGCAGGGTGCCTGTGGGTGACTGCCACTTTCCCTGGTCACAGGGGCTGGGGAGGCCTCTGCAGAGAGCTCTGGCTGTCCTTCAGGTCCCGTGAATTCCTGTTTACCCTTTGAGTACATCTTGTGTGAGAACCTCAGTGACCACGGGGCCAGACCCCCACCATTAGTGTGTCCAGAGAGGGCCAGGCCTTGAACTAAGGCTCCTCCTTGGACTCCTTAACATGCCCAGTCCCCGTGAGGAGGGGAACTTGGCGCAGAGGTCCTGGAGGGAGGGGCCAGCTCTGCACTATCCCCAGACCCCTGGACTCCCCAGAGGCTGGAACATGAGACCCTCACTCCATGCAATCCCCACGGTCTACAGGAGCCCCATGGTCTCCTGGGTCAGCTGGGCTCAGGGTCCAGAGAGCTGGTGTGTCCCCCGCCCGGACCAGGTTCAAGACCAGCTCCATCCTCAGAGGGTGAGGACTGGGACAGCTGGGGTGGGGATAGATCTCTTATGCTCAGGGCTCAAGGGAGAGCTTGGGGGATATAGACCTGGCTGTCCCCTCAGCATCCACACAGAATACTGGGGGGTCAAGGCTAAGCTCCCCTCAGTGTCCACACAGAATACTGGAAGATCAAATCTAGGTTCCCCTCAGCGACCACACAGAATACTGGGGGGTCAAGGCTAAGCTCCCCTCAGTGACCACACAGAATACTGGGGGGTCAAGGCTAGGCTTCCAGGCAGCTCATGGGAAATTCAGGCCCAGCTGTTCTCCATACGTCTCCTGAGCCTCAGTTACCTTGGGCATCACCTGGTGAGAGGGCTCTAAGCAGGGTCAGCCCCCAGCCCCATCTGAGAACCCCCTCGGCATGGCCCTCCTTGGGATCTGACTTAGGAAGAGCAGGGCAGCAGAGCCTGCACCCCAGCCAGCACCCTCCCTGGCTGGTTGCACACTTACCTGGTGTGCCCAACTCTCCTTTTTGTCCTGGGTCTCCGGGCAGGCCCGGGCAGCCTCGGAGAATGCTGAGCTTGTCGGAACCTTCCAGACCCACCACCTTCACTTCTGCGGGAAGACACGAGAGCCATCAGCCTGGACGTGCTCACTCACGTTTTAACCATTGTTATGGATGGAGTGGCATCCTTTCGAAATACGAACTGACTTGGTTAGGTCACGATTCTCGGTATATTAAGTAATTACCCTTCCTTTTGTGACCTGATATAACGATGTGTTGCAAACCCTCAACTCTGATTTAAAGTAAGGAATCCCTTGTGGAGTGGTGACATTAGGCTGCTCACCCAAGACTGGCAGCTGGAATCCACTGGCCACACCACAGGACGCAGAAGGGCGGTCCCCTCCCATAAAGATTAGCAGCTTTGAAAACCCACTGGTCAATTCAAGTCAGAACGGCAGAGGGTCCACAGTGAGTAAACAGTGATTTGGATGAGGCAGCATTAGTGGCAATTATGTTGATGAGGCAAGATGGATTTTAAATGCCTTCATTGTCTAGTGATGCTGTAACAGAGACAGAGCAGCTCAGGGCTCTAACAATCACAAACTGATTCTCTCAGGGTTTAGGTTAGGAGTCCAAGCTCAGTGTGCTGGCTGCAGGGACGGGCCCTCTGCGTCAGTTACGGAGAAAGTCCTGTTCCCTTTAGCATCTGTAGGTCCTGTGTTCCTCAGAGACCCTCCAGGTATCCTGTCTTTCCCTGGTGTCAGGGAGCTTCCTGGCACAGCAACCTGAGTCCCAAAGGATGCATACCACTTCTGGAAGTTCTTGCTTGGTGCTGCGGAAGGCCCCCGCCAACTCATTTTCTTCCCTTTTATATCTCTTGAAGTCAAAGGTCTTACAGGTCACACTGTAGGGAAACTTCCATAACATCTGCTGAGGGCAGTCTTGTTTTCCACCCTTAATCCTCTACTAATACTTGGTTTATCAGATCATGGGGAGCAGTACATACCTTCCACTATATATCTCACTGTAATTTTTTTAATATTTTTCTTTTTTTTATCTCTTTTTTTTTATCTCACCGTATTTGTATTTTGAGAGCGACACAATGTCACTAACTATAGGATTAGATTGGATCTTGAGTCAATCTCTTTTGAAAGATAAAGGATATTAGCAAGGATCAGAGATCAGGGGACTTCCTTAACAATAAGGAAGAAAAGCCTGGATTGGAGTGTCTCCTTTGAACCTGGTGTCCCCATGCTAAGAACCTCCTAGACATGGAGGAAGATCACTGTCAAGGCATGTGGAGAGCTCAAAGGGATGACTGGGCTGTAGATGTTGAAAAGATATGAGGATCTTAGTTCACACTCAACCCAGAGGAAGAGAGACAGAGAGAGAAAGACAGAGACAGACTTCCCTGAGAGCTGGCATTCTGAACTCACATTTCTAGGGTCCCTACTTTGAGGGAATGAATGTCTGCCTGCTAAAGTTATCACCTGTGATGTCCCTGTCACAGCAGCACGGAGAATCAAGGCACACCCACCTATGTCTCTGTCACAACAGCACCAGAGAACTGAGACACCCATTTTTAATCATTCCATTCACTGACATTAATTACCATCACCATATTGTACCACTATTCCCACTGTCAACTTCTAAATGTTCCCTCCCTTATGTGAAAGGGAGATAGCACACTGGAAGATGATAGTGGCCCCTCCAGGCACCCGTATTATTGTGCTCAGATGTTTCTGAGTCCACCCTGACTCCTGGTGGCCCTGGGTGCAGACAGGGACTCTCCAGAGCATTTTCAAAGCTGGGGCCTTTGAGAGCCAGATCAGGCTTGTCGTCCAGGGGATCCCTTGGCAACTTCAAACCACCAAACCCTGAATTCTAAGTCTAGCACTTAAATACTGCTTTCCTCGTCTCCTCACCCAGGGAATTTAGGGGGACAGAAAAGATGGTCCCACATTCTCTCTCCTCAGTGGCAGAGTCAAGACCTGTCTTTGAAGCCTGATGGTCCAGACCATGGACTCAGGAGTCAGGGTGGGTTTAATGCACTCCTTCCCCCTTAGCTGTGTGGCCTTGACCAGTCACTCAGACTCCCCAAGCCTTTCTTCTGCTCTGAGGATGAAAATCAGGCTGTCAAGGGTCTTGACCAGAAGCTGCCCGTGAAAGCTCGGCTTATTGCCCGAGACACTGTGGGTGGCCACTAGCTTTGAGCAATCAGAGATCTGGGTTGGTCTCACCTGGACAGGTGTCAGCAGCTTGAATAGTCAGGGTCTGAAGGCTCAGGAGCAGAATGAGATGGACCAAAAGTCCTGGGGCCATGGTGGCTCAGCTCTGCTCAGCTCCACCACTGTCGGGCCTTGACTTCAAAGACATTCCCAGCTCTTATATCTGGGGAAGCCAGTCTGTCCTAGAACTGTTATTTCTCAACTCCTATGGCAACACCACTTCCTAAGAACTGTTGCATCAGCAGGATGTGAGAGAGAACTCCAACAAGCTGTCCCTACAGCCCTGCACAGGCCTTAGCCCTCCCAGCAAGATCACCTGCAAATGCTCCAAGCACTCTCTCTGCAGGTGGGGAAGGTTTACCTGTTTGCGGTTTAAGGACCATCCCTGGCAGCCTAACTGACGAGGATAGGTTGATTGCAGACACTCCTCCACCTCCTCTGACCTCTCCAAACCTCAGGGCACCTGGGGAGAGGCAGAGGAGAGAGTCTGACCCCTCTTGCATGACGAAGCACCCACTGTGGTGGGCTCTGCATACGCTGGGCTGCTAGCCTCAAGGTCTGTGGATTGAGTATGCTCACTGCTTCATGGTAGAATGATGGGCAGTACCTTCTGTAAAGATTTACAGTCTCTGAAACGGCTTACTAAGTTGTCACTAGAGCAAATGAAAAAAAAATCTTGGTTAATTATTACACGTGGAGTGTTAGTTACATCTCACAACAGTTACACCAGTAGTGTTGCAAGGGAGCTGCTGAGACGTCTAGCTGGTGACTTAGCACAAGGCTAGCAGGAGCCAGCAGCTGGTCAGCACCTATCTGACTAGAAGGTAGGTGTTCCCTCAAGTGCTGACATTTCCTAGAAATCAGATACAACTCGCCTTGCTTTGACTCTTAGAAACTCGCAGACCCATCTTGCCCTACCTAATAGAACACCAGCTTTGCCGATTCAAAGATGAAGTTCCCTAATGTCTAGACCAGAGGATCCCGCTCCCAGCAGGCCCTAAAGGACATTCTCTTAGAGCTGTTGACCATGAGGAAGACTCGCTTGTCCTTCCGCGGCTCAGTTGACACGCCACCTCCACCCACGAGGAAGGGCAGTGTGGGAACTTCATCAGAGCGCACAACCTCGGTTACCCCTGGCGGGCACGGAGCGCTTACTTCTCCATAATACGGAAGATGAGAGAGCCACGATGCATTCAAGGACGAAGGGCAGCTTAGAATGGCTGAGGGTGAAAGCCTACATATATCTGAAAACTTCCAGGGGTAAACTATCTCTTTTATGATTCTTAAGCGATGTTTTCAGGGTTCACTGACCACTAGGCTTTGTTTTCTGGTGCTACTGCAAGGAGATATTCCATGTGAGGTACATTTACTGTTTTGGAGTTTGGAAGTCTGAATCGGGACACAGGTTCTAGAGGAGACCAGGCCACCGAGAGTCCCTCGGGGGTTCTGAACGAACGTCTTGACTGTAGATGCACCGCTGCAGGGCATCTGTTTTCTCTGTGCGTTTCTCTGTGACCCTTTTTATAAGACAGAGCTCAGAAGGAATTGGGTTTAGGATACACTATACTCCCAACTTGACTTCATTAATGTTGCAACAAATACCCCTTGTTTCCATTCAAGGATTCAGGGATCAGGACTGAACTTATCTTTGTGGGGACACAATCCGATAAGGAGCTCGTGCTGGTGCCGTAACCCCTTTGCTCACCCATCCTGTCCACTCCAGCTTTCAAACAGTGGCCAAATGATTTTGAGGAGATTAGCAAGGCCTGCCAGTTGGGGAGTTTGCCTTTTTTGTCAGCTGCCCACTCAGAGTTTTTCCTTCCTATTGGAATGGTTGTCTTTTGTTGGTCGTGTTGACGTGAAGTGTTGTAACCTTTTCCCATCCAGTGCCCCATTAACCTTGCTCTTAGCGCTTTTGACATTATGTTATTGTTTGTTGTTGTGTGCCATCGAGCCACCTGTGCTCATAGCGACCCTATGTACAACAACCCTAAACACTGCTCTGTCCTGTGCCAATCTCACTGTCTCTGACACACCTACCACCATTACCCCAGTCACTGAGTCAATCCACCTCATAGAGGGCCTTCCCCTCCTATGCCTGCCCTCCACCCTCCCAAGCATGATGTTCTTCTCCAAGGACCAGTCCCTCCTTACAACATGTCCAAAGTATGTCAGACGAAGCTTCAGAATCTTTGCCTCCAAGGAGCAGCCTGATTTAACTCTCTCCAGGATGAACCTGTTCATTTTCTTAGCAGTCCATGGTATCAATACTCTTCTCCAGCACCACAGCTCAAAGGCATCAATTCTCCTTTTTTTTTCCATTAGAATAAGATGTAAAATTCTTTTTTTTTTCTATAATTATATTTTATTAATTTTCATAAACATTTACAGAGATTTTGGGCTTCCACTCATTGATTGTTGCACTATTCTCTCTATCCTCCTCCCAGTTTGTTCTTGTCCAAATGCCACAGTGCTTGTCAAAGCCAGTTCTGATTAATCTTCTTTGTCAGTGTGTCCTTTGCCATTCCCTATCACTCCTCCCTGAGAGAGACTTCACCCTGAGTCATAAGGAAAAGGGGATGGCGTATTCTCTTAGCTACTTCCTGCTGAAAAGGGACGCTGTGGGTTTCAGGGTGAAGATCTTCTCTCACTACTCTAAAGGGCCCCTTTGGCAGTAGGAAACACATAGACTATTATGGAGATTGATTTTGGAATTTAGATGCACTCTTATTGATTGTGCTTGGCTGTACATGTTCATATCCTTGAAGATGTATCATGGGGGTGTTGCAACCTAGAAGACACAAATTTGACTAACAAGTTATAAGTACATGAGTCCATCTATCCTCTCTAGTCATTGCACAAGTGATTGCAAAGACCATGGACTGTATCAGGCACACCTTAGTTTCCAAAGTGACACCACTGCTCTTCAGTACTTTGGAGAGGTCCCTAACAGCAGACTTTCCCATTGCAATACATCTTTTAATTTCCTGGCTGCTGGTGCCAAGAGTGTTAACTGTGGAGCCAAGCAAACTGAAGCTGTGAACAATCTCAATCTCTTCACCATCCATCCTGATGCTGCCAATTGGTCCAGTGGTGAGAATCTTTATCTTCTTGACATTGAGCCTCAATCCGTATTGGGGGCTGCAGTCCTTGACCCTCTGCAGCAAGCGCTTCAGGTCCTCCTCAGTTTCAGCCGGCAGGGTTGTGTCATCTGCATTAAAGATTTAACATTACAGTTTTCCAAACACTTTTATTGGTTTGCATAGTCAGTCATAGACATTGTGTTTTATACATGTATTCTGTGTTTTGTACAATCATTCATATATGTTATTAATTACTATTGCTTTATGCCTATTATCACCCCATCTTTTCAAGCCCTCATTAAACCTTTCCCATTTCTTAATGGCCCTCCACCCATTAACATCTGTTCTACCCATGATTTTTCCCCCTTCTCTTTTATCTGCCCCCTTCTCTCTTCCCTTTTTGTGCATTTAAACATGTCTTAATCAGTTATCTGATTTCCACAATGGTTTTATGCAATTTTTGTCCCTACGTGACTGAGATATTTTACTCAGCATAACATTCTCTAGTCTCTCCCAAATTATACAGTATTTTATGAAGTCATTGTTCCTCAGAGCTGCATAGAATTCCATTGTGTAAATGTATAATTTCTCAATCCATGTTTTTGTTGATGGGCATTTGGACTTTTTCAATTTTTTTACTGTCGTGAAAAATGCTGCTAAAAACATAGGCGTACAACTGTCCCTTCGTGCCTCAGTTCTGATTTTCTTGGACTATATCTCTAGGAACTGAATAGCTGGGTCAGATGGGATTTTTATGTCTGTTTTTTGAGGAAATGTTAAATCATCTTCCATAGTGGTTGTACCATTTTACAGTTCCACCAGCAGTGCATAAGAATTCCAGTCTCTCCATATCCTTTCTAATACTGTTTACTGTTTTGTGAAACTTTGCTGCTGCTAGTGGTATGAGGTGGTATCTCATTGTTGCTTTGATTTGCATCTCTCATATTGTGGGTGATTTGTTGGTTTGTTTTGGCCAGACTCTTTTATTTAGTGTTTTGTAGTTGAAAACAAAAGTTATACAAGAGGTGTCCAGGACTCTCATTCATAGGGTCGCTATGAGTTGCCTGCGACTTGACTGCACTTAACAATACCACCAACAACAACAACAGAGAGAGAGAGAGCGCGCGCAGTTGGCCTAGTGGACAGAAAGCCATGCTCCCAAGCCAAAAATGAGTGACTCTACTCCGTAGCCCTCAGACCTGTCTTTCAATGTTTTCTAGGTCATGTAATCCTGGTGTCTCCACTTGCTGTACAGAGGTAACTCGTGGTTGCTGTGAAGCCGGACACTATTACACTGATGAGTCAAATGCAAGTCAAATGCAACCCATGGTGGACAGTGTTTGGTGGAGCTCCCTGATTAAAACAAACTTGGAAGCAGGAGTGGCATCCACTTCCACAATAGTTTGCCTCTGGAAACCCTATGGACCTGGAGAAAGGACGAAAATTATACAAGTTTCCAGGACTTTCGTTCATAGGAATGCTATGTGTCGCCTGCGACTGGATGGCACATAACAACAACAGTTGTTTAATACACACTTAAATTGTTTCATTGGGGGAAAGGAAAAGGAGGCTCTTGCAGATTCCCAAGGAAATGTCAGAAAAGCAATATTTGGCCAGCATTATCCATGTGCTTTTTGGGGCTTATGAGTGATAGCACTTTCCTTAAGTAAGCGTCTGTTCTCAGGTTTTCCACTGAGAACACTGAGATTTCCATCTGAAGACACCCTGAAATCTTAGAGTAGCAAACCCAACCACCCTTCTATGAGCCATCTACCTTGTTTACATGTTGTTGTTGTTATGTGCCGTCGAGTCGCCTGCGACTCATAGCGACCCTATGTACAAGAGCCCTAAACTCCGCTCTGTCCTGTGCCAATCGCACTGTCTCTGATACTCCCATCCCAATTATCCCAGTCACTGAATCAATCCACCTCATAGAGG